ATATTTTAACGTCTCGACTAAATAAAGACGGTTGAAATGGTATATTCTAAGTAAAAACTCTGCAGCTGTTTTCATGAAAAATAGAAATACCATGAAAGCTGAGGATTCATGTTTAGTGAACGTGCTAAATGAAATAGAGCCATCCACTAATCAAACATCAGAGACTGTGGATATTTGTTTAACCACAAAAAATGTTTTCTAACCTGATGACTAAAAAAGACAAATTAGTAAAAACATGCGAAGAAGAAGAAGAAGAAGAAGAAAAAGAAAAAGAAAAAGAAAAAGAAAAAGAAAAAGAAAAAGAAAAAGAAAAAGAAAAAGAAAAAGAAAAAGAAAAAGAAAAGAAAAGAAAAAGAAAAAGAAAAAGAAAAAGAAAAAGAAAAAGAAAAAGAAAAAGAAAAAGAAAAAGAAAAAGAAAAAGAAAAAGAAAAAGAAAAAGAAAAAGAAAAAGAAAAAGAAAAAGAAAAAGAAAAAGAAAAAGAAAAAGAAAAAGAAAAAGAAAAAGAAAAAGAAAAAAGAAAAAGAAAAAGAAAAAGAAAAAGAAAAAGAAAAAAGAAAAAGAAAAAGAAAAAGAAAAAGAAAAAGAAAAAGAAAAAGAAAAAGAAAAAGAAAAAGAAAAAGAAAAAGAAAAAGAAAAAGAAAAAGAAAAAGAAAAAGAAAAAGAAAAAGAAAAAGAAAAAGAAAAAGAAAAAGAAAAAGAAAAAAGAAAAAGAAAAAGAAAAAGAAAAAAGAAAAAGAAAAAGAAAAAGAAAAAGAAAAAGAAAAAGAAAAAGAAAAAGAAAAAGAAAAAGAAAAAGAAAAAGAAAAAGAAAAAGAAAAAGAAAAAGAAAAAGAAAAAGAAAAAGAAAAAGAAAAAGAAAAGAAAAAGAAAAAGAAAAAGAAAAAGAAAAAGAAAAAGAAAAAGAAAAAGAAAAAGAAAAAGAAAAAGAAAAAGAAAAAGAAAAAGAAAAAGAAAAAGAAAAAGAAAAAGAAAAAGAAAAAGAAAAAGAAAAAGAAAAAGAAAAAGAAAAAGAAAAAGAAAAAGAAAAAGAAAAAGAAAAAGAAAAAAGAAAAAGAAAAAGAAAAAGAAAAAGAAAAAGAAAAAGAAAAAGAAAAAGAAAAAGAAAAAGAAAAAGAAAAAGAAAAAGAAAAAGAAAAAGAAAAAGAAAAAGAAAAAGAAAAAGAAAAAGAAAAAGAAAAAGAAAAAGAAAAGAAAAAGAAAAAGAAAAAGAAAAAGAAAAAGAAAAAGAAAAAGAAAAAGAAAAAGAAAAAGAAAAAGAAAAAGAAAAAGAAAAAGAAAAAGAAAAAGAAAAAGAAAAAGAAAAAAGAAAAAGAAAAAGAAAAAAGAAAAAGAAAAAGAAAAGAGAAAAAGAAAAAGAAAAAGAAAAAGAAAAAGAAAAAAGAAAAAGAAAAAGAAAAAGAAAAAGAAAAAGAAAAAGAAAAAGAAAAAGAAAAAGAAAAAGAAAAAGAAAAAGAAAAAGAAAAAGAAAAAGAAAAAGAAAAAAGAAAAAGAAAAAGAAAAAGAAAAAGAAAAAGAAAAAGAAAAAGAAAAAGAAAAAGAAAAAGAAAAAGAAAAAGAAAAAGAAAAAGAAAAAGAAAAAGAAAAAGAAAAAGAAAAAGAAAAAGAAAAAGAAAAAGAAAAAGAAAAAGAAAAAGAAAAAGAAAAAGAAAAAGAAAAAGAAAAAGAAAAAGAAAAAGAAAAAGAAAAAGAAAAAGAAAAAGAAAAAGAAAAAGAAAAAGAAAAAGAAAAAGAAAAAGAAAAAGAAAAAGAAAAAGAAAAAGAAAAAAGAAAAAGAAAAAGAAAAAGAAAAAGAAAAAGAAAAAGAAAAAGAAAAAGAAAAAAGAAAAAGAAAAAGAAAAAGAAAAAGAAAAAGAAAAAGAAAAGAAAAAGAAAAAGAAAAAGAAAAAGAAAAAGAAAAAGAAAAAGAAAAAGAAAAAGAAAAAGAAAAAGAAAAAGAAAAAGAAAAAGAAAAAGAAAAAGAAAAAGAAAAAGAAAAAGAAAAAGAAAAAGAAAAAGAAAAAGAAAAAGAAAAAGAAAAAGAAAAAGAAAAAGAAAAAAGAAAAAGAAAAAGAAAAAGAAAAAGAAAAAGAAAAAGAAAAAGAAAAAGAAAAAGAAAAAGAAAAAGAAAAAGAAAAAGAAAAAGAAAAAGAAAAAGAAAAAGAAAAAGAAAAAGAAAAAGAGAAAAGAAAAAAGAAAAAGAAAAAGAAAAAGAAAAAGAAAAAGAAAAAGAAAAAGAAAAAGAAAAAGAAAAAGAAAAAGAAAAGAAAAAGAAAAAGAAAAAGAAAAAGAAAAAGAAAAAGAAAAGAAAAAGAAAAAGAAAAAGAAAAAGAAAAAGAAAAAGAAAAAGAAAAAGAAAAAAGAAAAAGAAAAAGAAAAAGAAAAAGAAAAAGAAAAAGAAAAAGAAAAAGAAAAAGAAAAAGAAAAAGAAAAAGAAAAAGAAAAAAGAAAAAAGAAAAAAGAAAAAGAAAAAGAAAAAGAAAAGAAAAAGAAAAAAGAAAAAGAAAAAGAAAAAGAAAAAGAAAAAGAAAAAGAAAAAGAAAAAGAAAAAGAAAAAGAAAAAGAAAAAGAAAAAGAAAAAGAAAAGAAAAAAGAAAAAGAAAAAGAAAAAGAAAAAGAAAAAGAAAAAGAAAAAGAAAAAGAAAAAGAAAAAGAAAAAGAAAAAGAAAAAGAAAAAGAAAAAGAAAAAGAAAAAGAAAAAGAAAAAGAAAAAGAAAAAGAAAAAGAAAAAGAAAAAGAAAAAGAAAAAGAAAAAGAAAAAGAAAAAGAAAAAGAAAAAGAAAAAGAAAAAGAAAAAGAAAAAGAAAAAGAAAAAGAAAAAGAAAAAGAAAAAGAAAAAGAAAAAGAAAAAGAAAAAGAAAAAGAAGAATAAGAAGAAGAATAAGAAAAACAAATCTCTGACTACTTTGTTGGACCAGATTATTTAAAAGACGAGATAATTGGAACTGGTATCATTTTTTAATCTTATAATATCCACGTCTATTGTTCCCGAGAAATAGAAAATTTCAAAAATTGTTCCGGTGTACAAAAAGGGCAACAGAAATGATATTACAAATTATAGACCAATCATTATTATCTGCAATTTTAGAAAAGTATTCTAAATCATGTAACGGTTGGAACCGTTATTCGTTATTTTGACACATTCACCTCTACTCAAATGTCATTTGTCGTTTATGCCTTGTGTCAAAAGTTCATATTTCATTTGATTCGAATATATCAACCAGATCACATTCATTTCAATATATCTTGGTCATCCGATGTACTAATTGATTTTTAATATTCTTATTGGCCATCTGAATATACAGTGTGTCGCATTTAAGATGAAGACACCCATATATTTTAACTATCTAAGTCAATACAGATTTGAAATTTTGCACAGTCATACAGGGTGATGGTTCACAGTTTTCAAGATACTCAACTGAAATTTAAATTTTAAACACGGCCTACTGCGAATCCACAAACAGGGTCACTTTTCGATATTTTTCTTCGCGTTAGAGATGTCAGAAAAAGTTATTTGAAAAAATTGTTTCGAATATTATTCTAAATCCACACACCAAATTTTATGACAAAATTCGCATTTTTAGTTTTTTTTCATTATTTTGGTCAATACACAAAATTATTAAAAAAGGATTTTTTTTTATTCGATAAACTAGTGTGCCATAGAAAGAAAAATATCGAAAAAATGGCCCTGTTTGGTGGATTCGCAGTAGGGCCCGCGGTTTAAAATTTAAACTCCAGTTGAGTATCTTAAAAAATGTGAACCATCACCCCTGTATGACTGTGCAAAACTTCAAATTTGTATTAATTTAGATAGACAAAATATAGGGGTGTCTTCATCTTAAATGCGACACACTGTATATTCCGACATAACCTCAATACCTATTAACAATGAGTAACAAACGGATAATTCATATATTATTTTTTTTTTTTTTTGAATAAGATATTATGCTTTACTATTTTTAAATATGTTAAATGAGATTTTTCCTTTTCATATTAATTTTGGTCTCTGTGAAATTATTCACTTAATAGTTTTAAATTGTTCATTTGTTAGTTAAAATCATTTTATCTGAATCCTGTTCTAATTTTCCTATTTCCTGTATTAACATTTTAACCTTTTCTTTTTAGCATTGGCTATATCTAGACGGTTTATGGAGATTTATATCTAGACGGTTTATTTGGATCTATATCAAGAGATTTATTTGGATCTATATTAAGAGGTTTATTTGGATCTATATCTAGACAGTTTATTTCGATTTATATCTAGAAGTTTTATGGTTTTTATACCTAGAAGTTTGGTACATCTGAAGACCGTGGTTTGGTTCATCGATAGAAAAATTCAGAATTAAGAATAAGGATACCGAATTACTTTGAAGGAGGCCTGAAGAATACCATGAAATAACATTCCTTATATTACCTAATTTGAACAAAAGATAAATGTGCTTTTAAATAAATCATCTAAATTTGAATTTAGTAAAACAATGTGAATTAGAATTTGCTTCTACCTTATCTAAAACTTGGTTTAAATATAATTTGTTAGTGGTTAGTGATTTTTTTATATTTTTTTCACTAATCTAAAGTCAAGTATAGTAAGTTTTAAATATAGTGTTGCCCAACTTCTTTTTTCAAAGTAATTCGAGTTATTTAATAACCTGACCCATGCCCAAAATCAATAGAGCTTAAACACACTATAACAAATAGATAAATACGAAGGCGTAGAACCGCCACAAAAATTTTTTTTTTTTTCAATTCCGACTTGTATCTCGGAATTCCGAGTTGTATGTCGGAATTCCGAGTTACAAGTCGGAATTCCGAGATACAAGTCGGAATTCCGAGATACAAGTACGGAATTTCCGACATACACAACTCGGAATTCCGACATACAACTCGGAATTCCGACATACAATTCGGAATTCTGACATACAACTCGAAATTTAAATTCAGAGGTCTGAAATCACAATTGATATTGAATAAAGGACCACGATTAAACATGCTGTGTATTTTGATTGTCATTTTGGAGTAGATAATGAATTTCTTAAATGAGGTAAGTGTAACATATTATATATTATTATTAATGTGTTTTATTTCAAAACAGCAGTAGTAAATCCTAATGTACATTTGCTAAAACTCTCTATTATATCTTTACATAACCAAATTTACATCCAAGAAAAATAAACATACAGAGTGGCGCAAGTGTAATTAAAAAAAATAATTGAACAGGACCGTACTTACAAAAATTCATAAAGTACAGTTCATTTTTAAAACCTAATAAAAAAAATTAAGTGTGATACATGGTTGGTTAGAAAAAGATTATGATTTCAAAAATGAAATAAAAAAAATACAGATCCGTTTTAAAAAGAGAATGGACATCCATATGAAGTTCAGGAACATCCAGGACATTATTTGGACAAAATATGGACGTCGTGTGCTGTCTATCGAAAGTAGACGAACTGTTTAAAATAAGCAGATTAATAGGCGTGATTAGTTTTCTCGACTAATGTTGAATATAGTGATTAGTGATGGGAGTCCCCGGATATATAAATCAGAATTTTTTCCGTTTCTTAAAATAATCGGTAGGTATTTAGTGTTCCGATTTTATATCGATGGTGTTCCGTATCGTCCCTGTCGTTCTTGACTTGAATCTTGATTCGTTGCCCTTCATTTACACATATGCTTGAATTTATGTGATGAAATCGGATTATCATAGAATATTCAATTGTATTTGAAGTATTGTTGTTATGTTACTATCGCCTAAGCTCAAAATTGACATTACTATTTTTTATTTAATATTTATAGCCAAAACAAATATGTAATCAGAGAAACTTAAACAGTTAGCTCGTTGCAAAAATATTTGGAAAGGGGAATGAATAATTATCTCTGAACATTACGATTATTAAAATTATCCGATTATTCCCATCACTAGTTGCATAGCGGCACATTAAGAAATTATAAATTACTTATAACTATGAGCTTTTGTCGCAGCTTTTCGCTTGTTTCCTATTACTGGCGGCGTTGCCGATTCCTGTAGATATGTACTGAATTCGTTATAAATATTGTTATTAATTTAGTATCTAACTGGGAAGTTTTTTTCTACAATCAGATGGAGTATTATTCTATTCTACGCATAGAATATAGAATGAAAAAGAATGCCATTTGCGATCTACTGAACGTATATTATTTCAATATCCGTTCTAGTACATACGTACACTGTACGGATAATATGAAATACACAAAATCATAGTTTATATTTTGGTCACCAGACAACTATTATTTTTTTAAATTCTAAATAAGTGACAAGTCTGTCAAACTAATTCTCAATATATTTTTTAGTCATAGAGATTACCTAAATATAATTAAAAATCAGTGATGCTCAATAAAAAAATGGCATTTCATAATATATTCATTTATATTTACAAATAAATCGTAAACTATTTAAAACTATTCTAATTATCAGTATTAAAAATATATACGTTATCGACTATCGAACACATTCCAATACCTCTTTGGCACAAGTACGTGTGAAAACTACAGAGAGCCAGGTACTGTAGAGCAAGTAGGAAAGGACCAATACCAGCGATGTTAGCCTATACGGCATGGTTAACGTAACAACGCCATACAAATGGCAACGATAATACCATTTGGTTTTCCGCTCGCTCCAGTGCCAACTCTCTGATAGCTTTCACACGTGTTCACACGAATTTGTGCATCGAGTATTGTATTGTTTATCTCATTAGCACAGAGTTGGAATACCTAACATACGACATGCAGGATGAACACAAATAATACATATTTTTTTATTAAATTAGTAAATGTCATAAAATATGTTAAATACAATTATTTTATCTTAATAAATAAAATAAACTAATTTTTATATTATTGCAGCTTTTCGTTAGTGGGTCGTACAAAAAAACATACTGTACAACTCTAGTGAATTGTCCGCATATGGCCATCATATACACTCCTTTGTTCCACAAACTACTATTTTTGCTTTTCGGTTGTAATGGCACATCCTCCTCCCTGACGAAAATGATCCAAATCCAAAAAGTATATTCACGTTTAATATATTTTCTCCCTTCTAAGTAGGTAATTTTAGTGTTGCGGCAACGTTGCTACTAGTTTTGTTGGCGTTTGTTTGTTGAATGTTGAATTTACGGTGGTCTTTTCGCGCGCTTTTTCTTGGATGTAAATTTATTTATGTCTAGGTAGTTTATTACAGTGACAGTTCCAAGTTTGTATTCAAATTCATAATTTATTTTAGGAATACGGAAATATCGACATGTCTCTTGAAGATTTTCTTCGCAATCGGGATATTCCAGAAACTGTGATATCACATTTTATTCAAGAAAGAGTAAGTAAAAATGATTATTAAGACGCAGGAGTATGTATGTATTGCAATTTTTTGTAATATTTAAGAGTATATTTCACGTTAATACAATAAATAGGGTGTTTTTGAGGAACAACCATTTTGTGTGCAATTTTTTTATCGGTCATCCATTAGGTACCTATAAGAGATTTAGAGAATTTAAAGAAACAAAGGTTTTGAGTCCGATTTAAGGTGATCATTAAATATATGTTATGTGGCTAAACTTTAATGTGATATTCCGTAATCAATTTTAAGATAAATGTTCATATACACATAGGCCTTTTTATTTTAAAAATACAGGGTGTTAAAAAACAAAATATTTGTACTAAATAACGATTGAAAGAAAATTTTAATACATCGATGGCTTAATTCTAACACATCGTAACTCACAAAGATTTTACAGTAGAGGCAAAAAACTCTGTCGTACGTGTCAAAAATCGCGAGAATCAACTAGAAATAGTTTTATTTGGGACAAGAGGTTTTAGTGACCGACAGTGTCCATCTTTTTCTGTTGAGTATGTATACGTAAAAATTTGGGTTACGACTTGTTAGAAATAAGCCATCGATATACAAAGTTAGAACCTAATGGAAATTTTAATAGCATAAGTGTATGTTAAGCAAAAAAAATTACACCACTGTTTTTTGCGTATTTACTAAATAACGATAAGAAGAAAATTATTATGTATTAGTGTATGTATGTAGAAAATTAGTATGTATCTATATTTATATATTTATATATTTATATATTTATATATTTATATATTTATATATTTATATATTTATATATTTATATATTTATATATTTATATATTTATATATTTATATATTTATATATTTATATATTTATATATTTATATATTTATATATTTATATATTTATATATTATATATTTATATATTTATATATTTATATATTTATATATTTATTATTATATTTATATATTTATATATTTATATATTTATATATTTATATATTTATATATTTATATATTTATATATTTATATATTTATATATTTATATATTTATATATTTATATATTTATATATTTATATATTTATATATTTATATATATTTATATATTTATATATTTATATATTTATATATTTATATATTTATATATTTATATATTTATATATTTATATATTTATATATTTATATATTTATATATTTATATATTTATATATTTATATATTTATATATTTATATATTTATATATTTATATATTTATATATTTATATATTTATATATTTATATATTTATATATTTATATATTTATATATTTATATATTTATATATTTATATATTTATATATTTATATATTTATATATTTATATATTTATATATTTATATATTTATATATTTATATATTTATATATTTATATATTTATATATTTATATATTTATATATTTATATATTTATATATTTATATATTTATATATTTATATATTTATATATTTATATATTTAATATATTTATATATTTATATATTTATATATTTATATATTTATATATTTATATATTTATATATTTATATATTTATATATTTATATATTTATATATTTATATATTTATATATTTATATATTTATATATTTATATATTTATATATTTATATATTTATATATTTATATATTTATATATTTATATATTTATATATTTATATATTTATATATTTATATATTTATATATTTATATATTTATATATTTATATATTTATATATTTATATATTTATATATTTATATATTTATATATTTATATATTTATATATTTATATATTTATATATTTATATATTTATATATTTTATATATTTATATATTTATATATTTATATATTTATATATTTATATATTTATATATTTATATATTTATATATTTATATATTTATATATTTATATATTTATATATTTATATATTTATATATTTATATATTTATATATTTATATATTTATATATTTATATATTTATATATTTATATATTTATATATTTATATATTTATATATTTATATATTTATATATTTATATATTTATATATTTATATATTTATATATTTATATATTTATATATTTATATATTTATATATTTATATATTTATATATTTATATATTTATATATTTATATATTTATATATTTATATATTTATATATTTATATATTTATATATTTATATATTTATATATTTATATATTTATATATTTATATATATTTATATATTTATATATTTATATATTTATATATTTATATATTTATATTTATATATTTATATATTTATATATTTATATATTTATATATTTATATATTTATATATTTATATATTTATATATTTATATATTTATATATTTATATATTTATATATTTATATATTTATATATTTATATATTTATATATTTATATATTTATATATTTATATATTTATATATTTATATATTTATATATTTATATTGTATATACATTTTTTGTGGATTTATAAATTCATTTATTTGTTTTAGATAGATTGTTCAACCATTCCATTGATGTCTGAAGAAAATTTAAAGGAATTTATTCCGAAATATGGCGATCGTATAGCTGTTAGAAATTTCGCAAATAAAAAAAATACCTCTGGAAAACAAAGTCTGATTGAAAAACTGAGAGAAAAAATTAATAAGAGAAATAGTACTGGAGAAAGTGCTGGAGCTTCTAAAAAGAAAAGTAGCACAGTTAAACAAACTCGATTTATAGAAATCGGCTGGTATTATATGGACAAGCATGTAGAACGATATCGACAAGTGAAAAAAAATCATGGTGGGGGTACCCGAAGAGTTTCCATGGAGAAAGGTAGCAAGAGTAGAGATATATTGGAAGTTGGAAAAAAATTATTTTTTCCCAATGGAATATCTACTAAAGGCCCTCTGGACATATTTGAAATTGAATTGCTAGATTACAAATGCCACAAATTTGACAGTAACTTAACCATTCAAGAGATGTATGAATTATCTGCTTTAACAACTTTAAGATTTTATGTAGCCACAACACGAAAATATGATGAAAATAATGATAATGATGATCATGATGATCATTACATTCCTGCTACTGTAACTCGGAGTGTATCTGAGAATGATATAAATTCTGAAACAGTATCTCCTATCAGACTTTCAGAGGGAGTTAGTAATCCTGGAGTGCTTCAAAATTATGTAACCAACTATACGCCGGAAGAATATATTTTAGTAAGTAACTTAACTAAATTAATTTAATTTTTTAAAAATTATATTTTGAGGATTCCTACGGCAGCGTGGAAGGGCTACATTATTTTATTTTTGTTTTATTTTCTGTCCCGAAAAACTCCGATTTCCACAAAAAAAAATAATTGTCTTAATAATAATGTTCTTAAGGCAGCGTTAGCAAATGTATTAGAATAGGAGATTTTTCAACATAGAAGACGGGATTTCTAAGCAATCAGTCTATGTGGATTTGCTTTTATTATATTCTAATGGTATTTAACTATAGGTCCTAAATATATTGAACAGTGGAAAAAATTACGAAAATAAAAAAAAAAAACGAAATTGTAAAAATTTCACATGTAAGAAAGGCATGGCATCAAAAAACGCTATAACACCACTATTTCAGCTACTAAAATATATTCCATTAGAGACTTTACATAAAAAATATTTATTTTTTTTGCTTCCATCTTATGTATACAAAAATTTTTAATTTTAACCCTGATAACAAAACAAAAAATACATCAAACAGCTGTAAATTCTGTAATTTTTAGTTCACGTACTTTTATACCGGGTGTTCAAATTAAAGTGTTACAGTTAAATACCGCCGAAAATATGCATTTTAGAAAAAAAAAGTTTCAGACAAAAGTTTTATAGATTTTGGGGGAAACATTTTGGCTAAATTAATTTTTTTATAGCTGACCATAATATGGCCATATCGAGGTGGACTTTGTTTTTTTAAATGGGAACCCCATTTTTTTACATATTCTTAAAGTACATAAAAAAATAAGAAACTTTTGATGAAAATATTTTTTTTTATTGGACTTTTACTTTTTGAGTAACACCTACTTAAAAATTTTGCTGGGCGAAAAAAAAGTTGGCCATATTATGGTTAGCTATAAAAGACGATTTTAGCCAAAATTTTGTCCCCCACAAAACTATAAAACTTTCGTCTGAAACGTTGTTTTTTATAAAATGCGGTAAAGCTGTAACACTTTAATTTGAACACCCGGTATAGTATAATAACGTTATTGTGTAGGATATTTAAAAAGGCGATAATTTCTTTGTTTAAATTTGAAAGAAAAATATTTTTAACCAATGTTTCGGTCGTTGTATCGGACTAAAATTAAAATTTTATTTTAACTACCTTAACTGACATTTCGTTATTTAGAAAGAATATTATAATTACAGTATTAAACAACAACGATTAACAAATTTGACTTTAAATTAAAGTTTAATATCCTGTGGGAAGTTTTTTAAATTTACATTAGTTAGCAATTCAATTATATTAAACACTCACCTCCATGTTCTCTAGAAGACTTTTACGACAACAGCCATAATACCATTAAATACTATAGGTCAAATATAAAATTTCTTGTTCGAACAGGGAATTTCGTATTCAGACACAGAATAACTTGAAAAAAAAAATATGGCCCATACACAATAGGGCTACAAAATATATGTAATAAAGCTTCATCTGCATGATGATCCTAAACTTAAGAAAAAATAAGTGTTTATTTGTCATGATTCTATTGCCACTTTGTATATATAAAATAAATAAATTTTTCATTTTAGGGACCAGACTTTTCTATTGGTACTGAAGAAGTAATAGGACCTAGTGATTATGACTTATACAGTTTGAATGAAAACACTATCTACAATATATCTGACTTGTCTGACTTATCGACACCACAACCAAATCAAAATACTGAAAACCTAGTGTTACATAGAGGCAATGTATTCAAGGAAATATTGGACGCTGTAAAAACAAGAAACGTACATCTTAAAAACATCCGCATCGAAATGATACTACCAAATGGAACTTCGGAACAAGCAGAAGATATGGGCGGTGTTTTAAGAGATACCATTTCTGAATTTTTTACAACTTTCTATGAAATTTGCACAATGGGTGCAGCCTTCAAGGTACCTTGTTTAAGACACGACCTTCAAAAAGAGGAATGGAGCGCAGTAGGTAAAATTATCTTAGAGAGTTACGAAACTGAAAAATATTTTCCCATTAAAATCGCTCCTACTTTCATCAAAGATTGTATGGGCCACAACATGGAAGATGATGAAGTTTTAAAAAACTTTTTAAAATATGTTTCTCCCTCAGATTCACATTTGTTAAAAAATGCGATTGAACATTTTGAAGAAGAAGATATTGAAGAAATAATGGAATTTTGCAATTCATATGATGCAAAAGTGTTACCTAATAAAAATAATTTTAAAAAAATGTTACAACAAATTGCGAGAGAAGAGTTAATTCAAAAACCTTCTTTTGTAAAGGAATGTTTTGCCCCATTTTTAAAGATGCTAGAAGGCAAACTGGATTTACATAAAATATATTCCAAATTAGACCCAACAGATAAGAATATCATCAACCTACTTGAGATCGAACCCAATTTGTCGGCTGATAAAAAAATTATAATTGGGTACTTAAAAAAATTTATTAAAGAATCCGATTTAAAAACGAGAGAATCGTTTCTCAGGTTTTGTACAGGCTCTGACCTTGCAAACCAGAATATTAAAATAGATTTCATTGAATCTGACGGATTTGCAAGAGTACCTGTAGCACATACTTGTTCGAAACTCTTGCAACTTCCTCTTAGTTATGAAAATTTTATGACTTTTAGGACGGAATTTAATAATATACTTACATCCAATATATGGATCATGGATATTGTATAGTTTATTTCAGTTAGGATAATCCTAAATATACAATTTTTTTTAACGTGTTGTATACAGAGTGTTAATATTTATTAATAATATTTAGGAAGTTGTTTGTTCAGTTAAAAATAATAGAAAAATATTAAACAGGGTGTCCCATTAGTACGTAATTGTTCAATATTTCAATTTGTGCTATTGACACGCAAACAAGTTTCAAATAAAAGTTATATAGATTTGAAAAATAGGTACATGGTTTAAAAATATTTTAAGATATGCAGGGTGTTGCGTTTTTTCAAATAAAAATATATGTTTTTTTAAATATAATACCTTGTACGTATTTTAATTTATTTTTAGAATGGTTTGGTAATACTGTATTCAACCCTAGAATGTTTTTAAAAGGTATTACAGAATTGCCAAGCAATTATTTTTTTTTAAATTGTTTAATAAACAGACTAAGATAGTAAGTAAGCTAGCGAATAGTGGTAATAGAACTGGTTTGTTCTGAAACATTTCTCAAATTTGACTAATTTTAAGTTTAATTTACTCAATTTTTTCAATGTATATTATCTTAGCATAAAATCCCTTATAAATTTGTCTATACAGCGATATTGATCGATAGCTGTTTTATTATTAGAAATACGAAAATATAAATTTTTATTTGCCAGACAAAAAGGCAACACCCTGTATCTCCAAAAATATTTTTAAATCACGTATTTTTTAAATCCATACTTTTTTTATTCGAAACTTGTTTGCGTGTCAATAACACAAATTGAAATATTGAACAATTACGCACTAATGGAACACCATGTATAAAACTTTATCGATAATATAGAATTTTGGATTAATTTCATGTGAGAATTACTCCCTAAATATTTTAAGGTTTTTCTAAGAAATTCTGTAAACATCGAGGGTATTATGTAGGTTCTTTAAGGTGATTACAGCACCCCCTTATAATTTTCGGACAAGGATATCTCAAAAAGTAATTTTTTTAAAAAATTAAAATTTTGGCAAAATATATAAGGCAATAATATCTAGAATATGCATATATTTTAAAGTTTTAATTCCTTCCAGTTTCCGAGAAAAAAAATCAAAGGGCTTTAAATTTTGAAATATCATAATGAAAATAAATGCATTCCTCAACAGCAGTATTCTTAATATAATCCCCAAATTTAAGCTCTTAATCTCTTGTTAATGATTTTTTAAAATTCGCCGAAATTAGTGGCTAAAACGCCTTGTTAAGTTCTATTTTCTGGTTTAAACTGGTGTAAACTAGTGTAAATCGTTGCAAGAAATGAATGATGACTCAGAGTGTACGATACGATAGTTACAGACGCGTTACACTAGAAAGAAGCACTTAACGAGGCGTTTTAGCCACTAATTTCGGCGAATTTTAAAAAATCATTAACAAGAGATTAAGAGCTTAAATTTGGGGATTATATTAAGAATACTGCTGTTGAGGAATGCATTTATTTTCATTATGATATTTCAAAATTTAAATCACTTTGATTTTTTTTCTCGGAAACTGGAAGGAATTAAAACTTTAAAAAATATGCGTATTTTAGATATGATTGCCTAATTTATTTTACCCAAATTTAAATTTTCTAAAAAAATTACTTTTTGAGATATCTTTGTCCGAAAATTATAAGGGGGTGCTGTAATCACCTTAAGTTGTTATTCCAGAATAAATATAAATAAATATTAAGGATATTATTGTTTATTTAAATTGTTTAATATGTTTATTTTTGTTTTTTATTACGGTTTTTGCAGGATATCTTGTTATTATCAATATTATTTAGTTTGTTTAAATTGTATAATACTTTTATTTTTGTTTTTGATTAATGTTTGACGATGTGAAACTACCTGAAGGGTGTTTTGCATTAATATAAAGGATATTATTTAGTTTGTTTAGTGTTTTGTTGTTGTATATTGTATAATTTGTTTTTATATTTTTTATTAATGGTTTTTCAAGATTCCCTTAAAAGTCATGAATGTTTAGCTTGTTTTAGCTTGTTTTTATTTTCATATTTTTTTTATTTATGTTTTTCATTAATTAAATTAAAAACTCTTAGCTAATTTGTGTATTTATTCCAAATATCAAAGAAAAAATACAACTATTAACGTAAGTTATATTAAAATACATATTTATTATCTGTTCGATACAAAGTAACAAGTCAATTAATTAATAATAAAATTAAATTTCTTAATTGTATGTATAAATATAATGCTGAATTATGATCTTTCACTGGTCGGTATCTGTTTTCTGAAATTAAAATTCTGCACAAATCATATATGTCTTTGTCACATGGATATTCGTTGAATGTGCAGTGATCGGAAAGGGCATCAACAGCAAAATTTGGAATTTCAACACAATAGTTCTCTGCTCCATAAAGAGACGGTACGTCGAACATTATTGCAGGTCTTCCAGTAGGTGCTATACTATTTCTAGATTTACTTATTTTATGCACATTCCACTCCATAACAACTTCGTTGAGGTCCTCCTTAAATTAATTATTAATATTAATAATAATGATAATAATAATAATCTCTTTTGAGATTTATTTAATAAATTTATAGTATTTTTACTTTTTAAACAAGAATTCTTACCTGAATCAGAGTCATAAAACAAAATTGGACCAGAGACTTATCCAAAAAATCACCACAAAAATAATCTTCATCTTTCAGCGTTTGAAAAAAATTCATCCAAAATTGTGTATTATGTTTTCGCAAAATAGACCACCATGCTTCTATTCTTTGGTTATGTACACTTTTTCCATATAAAAAACTCGGTTTAGAAGAAGGAGTTTGGTTAAACAATTCATGATATGATTTTTGCATCTTCTCAATTATTTTATTTTCGGTACCTAAATCACACCTTACACTTTTAGGGCAACCACCAACCATTTTTATTCCTTCTAAGTAATATCCTGCAATAACCTACAACAAAAAATTCTACAGAATGCAGAAAAATGTATGATGTTTTACTTCGACTACAGTAGAAAGAGTAATAATTGACATTCCAACGACCTGTTAAATAATAAGTCTCGGTGGGAAGGGCTCGTATATATAAGGGGGTTGCGCCATAGCCTTCCAGATTGGACGCTATTTTTATTCGAAATAGTAGTCGTCAAGCCTGCCAATTTATGAAAAACGTTTAAATAGTTTATTTAAAAATAAAATTTTCATTGGGTTCGACATAAAAGATTTAAATTTAATCAATGTTTCATGATTTCACTTGTTGTAGATAGAATACATCGTATGTCGCAACCTCTTACATATACCAAACCCTTTACCACCGACAGCCATTCTGTTTGGAATACTTAATAATTATATTAATTTACCTTTGGATCACTAGCTGTAGGTCCCGCTCGAAGCCAAATTATATGTCTAGAAAATCCGTCAATGCAACCATTAATACAAATTCCATATGGTTTCAGTTTATCGTATGAATCAATGTGCCATAAATAGTTTGGACCTTTATTGTGATATTGTCGACGTCTTAATCGTTTTCTTTTTCTAATTTCCACACCTTCCGGATCTAACAATCCAAGCAGTTCTCTGACGATATCTTGGGTAACTACAAGATTTTTTTGGAGACATTTTAAGTGCATCCATCGATATCCATGAAGTTGTCCAGATTTTTTAATTTCGCTTCCTATAAAATTCATAACATCTTCGATTTTGGAATATTTTTTTCGTCTATATAGTTGACGTTTTTTCAAAATTCTTTGCAATGTACGAAGGGAAACACGCTTATTGTGCAGTATATTTAAGAATTGTAAAATTTCCTTTTGCTGAAATCCATATGAAAAATATGTCTTTGCCAGATCTTCTGTATTACTTGACTGGTAAATAAATTTTGTTTAATAATCGAAATATGTTATAAACGCATAAAATTATTCACATTAAGATTTTTTTATACTTACATTATCCGAGGAACTCATAACCATGAAGAGAGATGCACTGTGTCTCAATAACTGAACGCTAAAACACAATAATAATAATAATATGTTACACCTACTACATTTAAGAAATTTATTACCTACTCCAAAATGCCAATCAAAACACATTTAAGCACGTTTAATCGAGGTATTTATTCAATAGCAGTTGTGATTTCAACCTTCTTAACTTGAATTCCGACTTGTAACTCGGAATTCCGAATTGTATATCGGAATTCCGAGTTGTATGTCGGAATTCCGACTTGTATCTCGGAATTCCGACTTGTATCTCGGAATTCCGACTTGCAACTCGGAATTCCGACTTGTATCTCGGAATTCCGACTTGTAACTCGGAATTCCGACTTGTATCTCGGAATTCCGACTTATATCTCGGAATTCCGACTTGCAACTCGGAATTCCGACTTGTATCTCGGAATTCCGACTTGTATCTCGGAATTCCGACTTGTAACTCGGAATTCCGACTTGTAACTCGGAATTCCGACATACAACTCGGAATTCCGAGATACAAGTCGGAATTGGAAAAAAAAAATTTTTGTGGCGGTTCTACGCCTTCGTAGATAAAATATCAAGTATCATGTTACAATCACTGTTATTAAATTTTTCTACAGGAATATCGAAAACTCAGTTTTACCTTAACAACATGGATTTGTTTGTGGCAGATCTACTGTTACTAACCTAGCTATTAAAACTCAATTTATCAGCGAAATATTGGATCGCGGTGTGATCTATACTTCACCAAAGCATTTGATCACCTTAGTCATCCTATTTGGTTATCCATTTTGAATATGTTGAATTTTTCTGACAATGTACTCTTCTTAGTTCCTACTTAAGTAATCCTTCCCAGTTTATCCTTATTAGTGGCATTAAATCTCGCTTGATATCTTAAGTTTCTGGGGTACCCCAAGATTCCATTTTAGGGCCTTTATGCTTTATAATCTTCATTAACGATAGTTTTAATAATGTAATTGTGCAATATTTACTCTACGCTGATGACCTGAAGCTTTTATTTTAAAGATTGATAACATCAATGACTGTATCTTACTGCAATCCAATATAAACAAAATT